TTATATGAAAACATTTTTTTCGTTGTTTTTAATAATTAAGAAAATGCATTGTAAAAATATACGAAAATAAATAAATTTTTTATTTAAAGTTAAAAAATTTATAAAAATTAAAATTTAAAATTACAATCATACGAAATAAAAATTAATGTATTAAAAAGTTGATAATTTATAAATAAATTACTACTATTCAATTCATTTATTCTAGTTTCAACCATTTTTAAATTTGAAATCCTTTTTTTTCTTTTTGTGAAATTCGAAATCCAAATCCTAATTCACTCACAGTAAATGTTGCTAGAAGAATGTAATTTTGGAAAGAAAAAAAAAACATAAAATTGTGATAATTTTTATGATTTTCTTTTTATCTTTTTTTAGAAAATGTATTTGATGATTCCTGAACGAATGGAACAAAGACCGACCGAAAACGGACACGGTGGACCCCACACCGCCTTCTCTTGACCTGCCATCACGAGGCATATTATCCGGCGCTTATTTTTCTCTCTTAATGACAAAAACACCCTTCTTTTTTGCTAAAATTACCATAATACACATTTACGCTGAATTATTCGGGGTTAAATCCTCAATTTGGTCCCTGAACTATTGATAGACCCCGAATTTGATCTCTAAACTAAAATAATCCTTGATTTCGTCCTTAAATTATTGTATGGATCCCCGATTTAGTCTCATTATTTATCAATTTACTCCAAATTGGTCTTTATGTATAAAAAAAAAAAAATTAACATGTCTCGTTATTAACATGACATGTGACAATTAAGTTATTGTTTTTCATTGTTAAGTTATTATTTTCTTTCATTAAATAATGGACACTTTAATTTTTTTTGTACAAAAAGATTAAATTGAGGCAAATTAGTAAATAATAAGGATCAAATTGGGGATCCATACAATAGTTGAGAGACTAAATCTGAAATTTTTTTAGTTTAGGGACCAAATCAGGAATCCATCTAATAGTTCAGGGACCAAATTGAAGGTTTAACCAATTATTCCGAGTGGGAGGGAGGGTGTCGTATGTCGTTTTGTACGAGTGGGTCCCACCTTCTCTACCCCGACCCCACCACTCGGATTTTTGGAAATGGGAAATGATAATTCATTAATTTACTCGCCAAAAAAATTTAACTCATGAGCAGCGCTAGGGGCACTCGCCTCCTGCACACTCCGGCCAACACTTCCACTTTCATTGGGCCACGTAAGCTTGCTTAGGAGGTTTTGGGACCCAATCTCTTAAATCAAAATAACGTGGCCCAATAAAAATCGAGGTGTTGGCCGGAGAGTGCAGGAGGCGAGTGCCCTTAGCACTGCTCTTTAACTCATTGCATCCATAAAAAATAATAATAATAATAATAACTCATGCAAAAAATAATTTATTTTTATTTTTTCAAGAAATCATTTTAGGAACTGCCATCATTTTTATAAATTATGCCCTGACTAAGGTTGGTAAAACACTCAAATTTAACAAAAAAGTATAGTGGTATGAATAGATTTATTTTTAAACAAAAAATAAGATTCTACTTATAAAATTTTTGATTTTGATAAATCATTTCAAATTTAATGTGTGACATCATTTGATATTAATAATTTGTTAATTTGTTATGTTGTTAATAATAGATTGCTGACACCATGATGTCAAATTAATAGATTATTGATGTTAGATGATGTCAGATGATATCAAATTAATAAATTACTGACATCAAATGACATCACACGTTAAATTTAAAATGATTTTTGTAAATCAAAAATTTTATGGATGAATTTGTTTCCATTTTTTATTTAGAGATAGTTCCCTCCCTACTAGTATACTTTGGTGGTGGATTTGGGCATTTTGTCCACTAAGATTTAAGTAGTAGATATGATAGGAGCCAATTTATCTTAAAATTATTTTAGGAACTCCTATTATTTTAGGTAATTTATCTAAAGTAGAGAGTCACTTATACATTAATTTTATACATTATATTTATATAAAATCGCAACTATTTATCTCTATAGTTTTAATAATTAAGATTTATTCATATTTATTAAAGATGATTATTTTTTCATCTAAAAAGTTATAATAAATTTTAATTATTAAAAATAAAAAGATTAATGATTAAATTTATATAGATATGATGTATAATATTTATATGTAAGTAAATCTCTTTTTATTTTATTTATAAGTAAAATTTATGATGTGACTTGTATCTAGATTTTAATTTAAAATAAAATTAATATTACCAACTATTAATTAACCTATTCCAAACAATAAATTTAAAATGTTTTTAAAGATTGGCATGTCAATTTCTAGTCAATTTTATGTTGTGACATAACAACAACCATGTTAAGTACAAATAAATGTTCTTAAAAATAAAAGCTACTTTTACTTGTGAGTAATTGGTGATTTCTTGCGTTTATTGCGTTTATCTTTCTTTTTTTTTATGAACATGAGAGAATTTGGGGAGGGGGATTTTTTTTCAAATTATTGTTTGGAGTCAAAACTTTTTGACTAACTACGTTCAAATACTTAAAATTTAAGAATGAATTATTAGATCCTAAAATTTATGAATGAATTATTAGATCCAAAAGCCTATTTCGGTGATTTCTTGTACTTTACCACTATAACTGAAAAATAATGTATAGGTCTAGTGGAGCACATAAAGAACTAGTGATATATGGATTCTTAATAACTCATCATTAATTGTGATGTTCTGCTCGTAAAATATGGTAACTTTAGTACCTATGTGGAAGCAATTTTTAGCTCGAACTCTAAGAAGAGTCTGTGCTAGGATAAGGTGTGGCCCTTAGGCTGTAAATGGGTAATCAAGAAGAAAATGAACTTGGATGGTCATCTGCAAACCTATAAGATAAGGTTGGTTGCTAAAGGTTTGAGACATTAATAAAAGCTTTTCACTGACACTCATGTTTAAATTTATTTGAATTTTATTTACCATAACTACATACCATGATTATGGAATTTTAAAAATAGATAAATCAAAACAGCATTCTTCAATGAAAATTTGATTAAGGACGTCTGCATGATGCAACCTGATGGTTTTGTGACTCCAAAAGATGTCTACAAAGCATGCAAGTAAAAAGGGTCCATTTATGGAGTTGAAAATTTTGTTTTGATGAAGCAGTCAACAAGTTTACCTTGTCAATTGTGTAAAAATGAGACTGAAAAAGAATGACGAAAATGTGTAAATAATGATATTAATTTT